AAGACACGCACCCAAAGGCGCAGCAGCCAACAGATTCTATGATGTGCTGCTTAGACTAACAGGCCCCATTTCCACATTCGTGGAGCAATGCAAAAGGRGCTACTATCCTTCTATTTCTCCTTCTTTGAGACCCCGAGGCCCACCAGGCCATAGGCGTCAGAACCTTCCTGGACCTCTGCCAGATACTACCTGCTACCCACTAACAACGGGTTAGTGAAGTTKAGTTTTTATCTGACAAGAGCAAACACTTCATTATAGCAGTTTGCATTTTGCAATGGCCATATTATAATTATCRACCTTTAAAATGTCAAACTGTTGCAACATGGATTAAGGGAGACTTCATGAGTTTCAATCATTTAAAATTGTTCATTTTTCTTCTTTATTTACTCATTTCTACTTAAATACTTTTAACCTTTAAATTTCTTCTATATTGCAAAAATGAAAAATCCATATTCTACATTATACTCAAAAATTAATTTTCTCAATCTCTGACAAAATGTTCAACTGCCACAAATGAAATTAAGTTCACTACTAAGGCCACAATGAATTTTAACTTGTGTCACTTTTGTAAAATAATCAAACACAGTTATTCATTTTTTGTTAAATAAAAAAAGCATTTGRCATGACATATGTCGGCACCTCTCACTAGCATTAAAACTTTCAAAAATCAATGTTAGTCTAAATGTCTTGTGTTGGCCTGCTGCATTGCTGCTTCTTCCTCCATTCATATTTAGTCTTCAAACAACATTTCCACCAAGTCTTGCTTTTTGCAGTCATCTGGACCAAGACGTTTGTTCTGAATCAAAGAAGAACGTACACAAAATAAAATAACAATAACAATAAAAATAAATTTTGCAACCTTTCAAAACTACTGTCTTTGTTTCAGATGGCAATACAAATGTTAGCCTCTTTACTAAAATAACTTAAAAGTACATACTGTTCCCACTTCTATCAGAGTTGGAATTCCTGTCAAAGCATAACTTGGATGTTGTCTGAATTCATTATTYGGGTCTTTCCAGCTAAAAGATAGTAAGGTATTTAATTGGTATGGTATTTTTCTAAAAATACATGTATAAAGTGTAAATACTTTCAATACACAATTTACTATACAAATTTGATAATGTAAAAGAGTGGCTAGACAGAGTTGCCATAACCTCTCCAGTCAACTATTTTTTTCTATCTTTGAGCTTCCTTTGTAGCATTCATATTAACCATCATATTAACTAAGTGACAAGAAACAAAAAATACGAAGAGACTCCCCTCATTCACTCTCATTCTCCCTCTTCTGACTCCAAGAAAAAAAGTCATGAAGCCAATGACTCTTAGTGATGCCTGTGGAGGAGGCTTGTATTGTTGCTAGGCTACAATATTCTGCTCAGCTGGGTGAAGCTAAAGTTGCTGATATTGAATGCATTTAATTGAGACATGACAGGAGTAATTTAAAATATCTAGATATSAAACATATCCATTTTATATGCCAATGCTATTATAATAAGAATAGTTATCAAATAAAAAGAATCAAGGGAAACTTGCATACCATGCTCTGTCTCCTACAACCACAAGCACAAATACACAATCAGCTGGATTAGAAGCATTGTCAAGCACTTTTTCTACTACTGGTTCAGCTGAAAGGAGAGAAAAAWCAAAAGACTATCTTTTAGAAGATAGTAACTTAAGGAAGATTTGMATTTGTTTTCTAAATACCTCCTAATAGGCGATATGCATTATGGCATCATTTACTACAACTACCAGAATGCTTTGCCAACTTTCTTTTGTAATGGAATTAGTGCCAATTGTTTTATTAATGTCCAAGAAGATTAAAAATCTGAATAACAATGAAAATGCGCAAGGCTCTCTGGTAGTTGTAGTAAAGTTACATCATAATGCAAATGGCCTATAGCACAAACCATATAATACTATTATGCAATCTTAATTATGTGGATATAAATAGCCGGACTATGTTAGGTAACATTTCAACATTATATTATATATTTTCATAAAAATGTTATGTATGTTAGACAGAACACAACATGGAATTGCAGTTTTGTCAATGAAAGATAAAAGACAAAAAAGATAAAAGATTCAAAAAAATATGAAATGATCATTACTTATAAAAATACAAACATTGCTTGTGTTAACTTGATAAACTGTCATCTACAAATGCAATTTTAAGTACAATATCTAAGTGATTTTGCCACGTTATACATAAACACAAGGGAACAAATCATTTTGCAAAAGATAAAAAGATATGCAAAAATTCTTGAATAATTTTCCTTAGAAACAGCCACCCTGCAGAGGGTGACTATTTTACCACAATTCACTTCAATATTCTAGATTGCATTTTTTGTTCCAGCTCGAGGATATAATTCATCGACGATTTTATCCAACATCCTAACTATTGAACCAGCAGACTATAATAGATATGAATAAGAATACTTCAAAGCAAAAGAAAATAACGGAATGACTGGGAGTATCCAAATCAATATTATTGTTTTCATTTCTCTGGGTGTAGCCCAAAAGTAAAATGTGAATCACCTTCCAAAAYTCGACGGAGATTATCGTTCTCTCTACACTAACAAAACTMAATCATACTTGAAAGTTTAGACTCMATCCTGGAGAATTTGCAAAACCGWCGTTTGGRAATGGAAAGTGAAATAATATTTTGAAAGGAAGAGGAACATTTCAATGGAGAATTCTATTCTTCTCTTCGCTTACCGTCTCTGCAATCCGAGCACCAGCTTTCCCCCGTCTCATCGATAGCACCCATAAACATTACAAATTTCCTACTTTTGTCTTTGTGTTCCTCTAGGGTGGACTCGAGGTTTTGTAGGCCTTCTACTTGAAGTTGGAGCATCCGATCAGTRGCAGCCATGATGCACGAATTTTGCTTCCTCTTCAATATGAAATGCACYTCTCTTTCAGGTTAAATGACGTCATGGGGTTCTATCCAGGCTTCCTCGTGCGTTGCAAGGACGCCTGCCAGTAATTGGGATCAATGTGGACCAAACTTTACCCATGTCGGGTGAAACTGTGAGCGTTATTGACAGGAACAACTCTAATAGTAGAGATTTTCAGGTAGAATATGGTCTGGATCGTTTTAACTTTGAAATTTATGTACGAAAACGTTTTATAGTTATCGCTAGTGTGTGAAAGTTTGTTTCCAGTTCAAATGATAATAATAGTTTCTTTCTAGAGTCCATCTTGTATCCAGTTCTTTGAAAAGTGGCGATTCTGTGCATGTAAGTATCCAGTTCAGATACATTCCTATTGTATATGTAAATTGATGCATACATGGGCTAACCGTAAAGAAACATGCATGATTAATCTAATTATGATATAAATTATCANCAAAACCTATTGTGGACCCTCACATTATGTAGGGATATTAGCAATAATTGAAGATAAGAATCAATTTCCAAAGGAATAAAAAAATCACTAATAAAAAAATTGTTGATTTTTATTGACTATTCATTTAATTCACATTAGTTGCAGTGCTTGCTTCATTCATCGATGACATCACCAACAATAGCAATAGCCTCAATTTCAACCTTGCCACCCTATGAGAAAAAACAAATCATTTGAATAATCATGACGGCCATATCAAGCCTTGTACATGCCTATCCAAATAGCTTATCATGTCCATCTTGATAAGATGGTACCCATGGTGTTATAGGTCTTGAAAAACCAGTGTATTTCAAATAAAGATCCACTGGAATCCCTGTCCTCAAGCTTTTTGTTTATGTTTACAAATAAAAAAATATTTTTAAGCAAAAAATTCCTCTTTATTATCCCTTTATGTTATATGACTAGAGATATTGTGAAGATTCAGCAATGAAACTGGAAGATGAAAACCGATAATTGTAGCCATCTGTAAATATGACTTTTACAGGTTGCATGTGATGATTATATAGGCAAAAGTGATGTCTAATAATGCCTTTAGCAATCATTGGCGTCATTTACAGTGTCTCACTAGCTTGTTTGAGTCAGGGGATAAATATAAGGCTTTTGCTCAATTTTAAATCCCATTTTTCCACTAGGCCAATGATGAAAATATCAAGGAAAAAAGGTTTGCTGGTTATTTCACCACCAGTTATTGCTTTTATGCACTAGAATCACAAATCAGCCCTGGAAATATTTTTTTCAACTTTTATAAATTCAATCATACTTACAGCGATTGGAAGATTTGCTGCTTGATATGCAGCCCTTGCTGGTTGTTTATCTTTAAAAACTAAATTTAATGAAATAAGTCAAAGCAATAATTTTTATTATTGATGTAATAGTTTTGATATAAAATAATGCATGTCTCAGTCAACTTACATGTTTTATACACATCATTAACGGCTTGGAAGTCWTTGATATCTTGTAGTAGAACTGTTACCTTGACAACTACACAGAAAGGAATACAAGGAACCTTATCAGGTATTAATGCCATGAAAATACTCATTCAAGAATAAATCACTATCACAGCACATGTTATGSTACAAAGTAATGCAAAAACCACTCTATAGAGGTCACTTAATTACCAWTTTAGATTAAAACTCACCTCTATCAAAGGAGCTACCACCCAATTCAAGAAGAGTTCCAATATTGATAAGAGTCTGAAAAATGCACATAAATATTAGGAAGGCATGAGAAGTTGTCAATGAATATAGCAATTCAACAAACCATGACTGGGCTTTATTTCTGACCTTCATGCAGGCATTATAGTTAATAGAGAAGACTAGTCTCCTCTTAGCTATGATGCAGGTTGAAAGTGTTTTCTAAGATTTCAAATAGTGCAGCCTACTTTACTATATGATTGGTTCAAATTCAGCAATACCAATGAAAGAGTGTGGTTTTCACCTCTGATTTATGACAAAGTATGTCATAGTTGCTGCATACAAGTAATATCTTTATGCTATGATTTGGTGATGTTAGTTTGTATAAAGGTTTCAGCCTATGTTTATCTGATCATCCCTTCAGTATTGAACAGTGAATTTCATATATTTTTTTTGAAAGCATTATGTTGAAGCCCTCAGGAGCATGACCCCATTAACATTTCACAGGAATTATACCTTGTCTGACGAAATAACTATAAATTTACAGGTATTACTATTATTAGCACAAACATACCCAAAATTGTGAAACTTTAACAGCAAAAAATAGATTMTAACTCTTATAAGCTTCTTCCTTTATTTTCTATTGTTTACTTGATTCTATTGTAAATTAATCTTTATAATTATTTCACAGATTTAGTGTATGCATTCTATGTAATAATTGGTTTTACCTGTCTTGTTTGTTCTCCTGCATCATCACTTACAAACWTTTTGGTCTGAAAAACAATAATGCTAGGGGTTACATCCACATGTGGCACAGTCACTGGTTTATCCAGAGCTATTTCTGGMTTAATATGGACAATATAAATAATGGAATTGCTGATTTTTTTGTACATTGAARATATTGTTCAAACTGGAAAGAAATTTGCAAACAAAAACAACTTGACAACAGAACTACAAATTAACAGTTGATTGGATGGTTATTGTTCCTCAGGGGAGTGTTTTATAAACCATTTTGTAAGTACAGAGCTGCAACTCACCTCTGGATCTAGTCCCATTTGCCCTGATATATACAGCATGTTATTGGCTGCAACTGCCTGACTAAAATACACAAAATAATAATACGTTTATCCTTTTGCTTCTTRCTGATATTATTATGCACCATACATCTCTTTTAGGACCAGGATTAACAGTTATGCTCTATATTACAGACCTACTGCATCTTTCTTCATTAAAGTCTTGTCACAAAGGGAACAAAATTGCAACCATGGTAAAGGATTGCCCAAAAAGGGACAAAACATTCATTTTTTTTTTTTGTCATAGTAAACTGCATTTGCAAAAGTTGATGTGACATCATCACTATAAGTCTATGATTGTGACCCCCTTGTGCCCCCCTCCCAAAGTCAATTTTGGCTCTGCAGCGCCTGCCAATTTAGCATTTTGCTAGGTTGTTGTGCTTGTTGAGTTGATGCCCCCTTTTGGGCCAACTCTTGCATCATCATGATGCATATGATTGCTGCATTGCATGACAGCACAAAGAGGCTACAATTTTAGGCAAGACAGACTGGCATAGATAAAATAAGGCAAACTGTTAGGCTGTTAGTTCACTTCAATCTTATATACACGTGTTTTTTTATAAAAATTGATTTAAATTTCACTCTTGCGTTACAAATTTGTTTCTACTTTAATCGTGTAGGGACTGTACCATCATTTTTTAATGAAAACAKTTTTGCAACAGTCTAAAATACAGCTGAACCGCACGTGGAAAAAAAAAACTGCACGTTGTTCTCGAGTTTTTACACATGGCTGACTAGCTATTCCTACTATCAAGATAATAAAACTTACTTGTAAGCAGCGATTGGACCTGGAGCTTTGGGAGTTTTTACAATTTTCCTTATTGTTGCCATCTTTCAATAAATTATCCCTAATATAAAATTAGAATGCTGATAAGAAACTAATTGTAAACGGTAGATAGTTCCCAGTGGTCACAAATCCCGCCGATGCTGGCTGGATGCTGGGATTTTAGCGCGCTCCACACAGGGGCCCCGACATAATAATTTAGGAAAGGCGTCATGAYAGGACTAAAATTCAAAATTTATTTCATACAGAGGGAATTTTACMACTTTTTTGTTTTGACAAAATTTGCCTGTTGCTGTAAATAATGAGCTCTAACAAAGGAACACAAGGGCCACAAGAGTCACAAAATAGCACATTTTACTCTCTTTACCCTCYCCTCCCACGGATACTGAGTACTTAGAACACCTAATTATGCATCTGTAGCTGATTGGTTGAAGATCAGACGGTGCGRGTTTTCGAAAATATTTACCTTGGTGCCCACGCTGTTGTTTCTTCTCGTTTTATGTGGAGATCAGTGGAGATCTAAACTGATTTAACGATGGCCAAGAAGCCGACGTATACGCAACTAAAAGCCAAGAAAAAGTGGCTGCTTCACACTTCATCTAGTCGGCAAAAATTCAAGACTAAGRCCAGATTAACGTCTCAAAAACCACGACGTTCCCGGTCATCATCAGTTGGAAATGAACACATCAGCTCTTCTCTAAAACGAACAATTTTTAAGAGTCTCTCCCAAATAAGCGGACTTTTACAGTCAAAAAAAGGCTCAGAAGAAGTGTTTAAAGTCAGTGACTTCGATAATAATCACAAATGGCTGACACACGCGAGTATGGGAGCCGTTTTGMTGCCGATCAACATGGTTTTGTGTGCACTGATGAATGGTACTCAGTTCTTCAGACATTATTTTGAAGCAACAAGAAAAGCTATCGCAACGGCTGGTGAATCGCTAAACAGCGGAATAAAGAATGGGTTCAAAAGCGTCGACACTTATCAACGGGTTTGTATAAATTCAAAATATTCAAACGGTAATGAAGCTATGAAATATAGACTAATAGTGCCCACCAAGGTCAAGTATGTAGTATAATTTTACTTGAGGGCAGACAATTTCTGTTATAAAGATACTAATATTATGTTGTGTTTTTTTTTGTGTGTGTTTGTGCGTTTTTTTAGAAATTTGTCCAGAGTACAACTGATGTTGTATTTCCCACTTCATCTTACAAGAGGAAATTTGAAGAACTCACTGAAAGGATAAATGATCTAGAAAAGGAAATAAAAAAGATCAAGACTTCACATTCAGAGGTAATTTAAACCATAGTAGGAGTCAATAACAGAAATCATAGCCTCCTTTGCAGACGTTATATTATACTAATAATGTCTGCAAAGGAGGCTACAGAAATCATTGATGAATAACGCTACATAAAATAATATATAAAGATGAGCGGTGTTTGAGAAGAAGAATTCTTTTGATAGGGTYAGGAAGCATGACAAAAAGGAGGCAGTGAAGSKGTCTAAMAGTCATGYYACAGATTTCTACTARCCAAAAGCAGTGCAAYGWGCCATCAATTTAATTGTTATATYCATATTGTTTTTACAGACTATTTGTTCCAAATGYTATCATGGTTCAGCAACTTCAGTGTCGTCTGAAGAAAAAATGATGCCCCAAGYACCTCCTCCTCCRCTGCCMCCACCTCCACCACCACCACCTCCACCACTTATACAACCTCCACCACCACCTCTCAACCTTCAGCTCAAAAAGGTTTGTTCTTGTGAGCCTGCATGTTGCCTCATGAAAAATGGTTTCCATTTCTTAATGATAACAAATTGTTCTCTATTTCAYTTTGTCAAATAGACATTCCAAATAAATTGAACTACCTGAAATCCAGCTTTGCATAAAATTACTGAAAAATTAGAAAATTACTAACAGTGTAGTCGTTATATAAAACAGTGTTATTTAGCACACAAATTACAGAAATGGAATGGGCTAAATGAAATCTTGTACCATCGACAACAATAAAGTCATTTAGTGAGAATTTCTATTATTGATGTCAGAAAAAAATATATTTTCAGAAACCAAGTGCCTCAAACTCTAAAGACAAACCCATCCTGAAAGAAAATACGAAAGCACTTGTCGTGTCTATAGATGAYATSAAGTCAGTTAAACTGAGAAAAGTTCAACAGAAACCTGCAAATGGTAGATCACCAGTCAATAATGAACAGTGCAAATCAACAAGGCAGCCTTTAAAGGAAATTAAGAATAATCCAGTCAAAGCAAGTGGAAAACCTCTTGTAACAATGGAGGAGCTTAGAGGAATTAAGCTTAGAAAAAAGCCAACAGAAAGAAGTCATCGTCAATCATGTTTCAAGTAAGAAATGAAGATTTAAATTCCTATTGATATAAGGATATATCCAACAACATTTCCTCCTGAAAAAAATGCATGTCTGAGTAATGAATCATTATATTTAGCTATTACATAAATTAAAAAATATAGTTTTCATTTGTTTCTTCTTGCAAGAACATCACTACCTTTCCAACAGAGTTTCCATTACAACTGTAAAATAAAAGGAAAAGCAAAGGCTTAGCTTTCGTTCATGGTATAAAAGAGAATGTGTTAGCAGTATATTATCACATGAAAACAGATCAGTCATGTTGTATTTGTTAAATCTTTTATCTTTTATCTTTTGTATTTGTTAAATCTTTTATCTTTTATCAAAATACAAATTCAACCAATTCCTAATGTAATTTAGAACCCCTGAAAACAACATGGTTGTGTTACGAAGAAATCTTAAAAGGGTGAGCCACAAGAGAAGTCCTGGAGGGACACCATTGGACAAGACAATCCAGGAAACTGGTCTTGGTCTTACTCCTATGATTACAAGGGCTTTGAGGAAGAAATTCCAGGTTGTTGTTGTTGTTGTTGTTTTTTTTTTTTTTTTTGTATATTGACATATTTATTTCAATCTCTCAAGATATTCCAGGTTGGTTATGTTGAAACAAAAACTAAGAAAAAACATCTGATAAGTTGTAACTTTTATTTCAATTCTAATCATTTCATTAGCTTGCAAATCCTCCTTCTGCTTCTCCTGAAGAAATGACATCTCCAAGAAAGAGAATCAGGGTAACATTGTCTTCTTGATTCGAACACAGCTGGGAATGTGTAATTTTATCTACACATATCAAGATATRACCACTGTGATTTTGTTTTTAACCTTTTCAGGATATTAGCATTTCTCCTACACAAGCTCCAGTATTCACCAGCCCCTCTATTAGATAAGCAAAGAAACTCTTRATATACCTTATGTGACCAGATCTGACAAGGATGACAAGGAAATGATCTGAACAATGGTACATTCACCATGCAACTTGGGGTCAGGGCTAGAATATCACATAGTATTGAATTCAAATACCACATTTTGTGGTACCTCATTTCAAGTCAAGCAATTCAATTAAGAGCATGAATTCAAAGTAATAGAAATAAATAATATTGTAAATAGTCCAATTCAAAGTTAGTTATTATCTAAAACCTTAATTATAATTATGTACTGCAGAACATCTTTAGCTTGGATGTTGTAATTTACTATGTCTTTAGCTGAGCGGTCATTTTATCAAGCAAAGTCTGATGTTTTGAAATTATAATGATAAATGAAATAAGTTTTCATCAGAGATAATAAATGMATGTATAGAATAAAAGGTTTGAAAATATAATTTAAAATGACTTTAAACCTAATTTGCATTTTTTGCCATCACATCATGTTACTCATTTCTGCAAATTATGCTGTTTAAATTTATTTTTAAAGTCAACTATTGGTGAAGTTTTCTCATGATTTATGTTTCAAACCTTTTATCCAACAATTTTTTAAATCCAATTTTATATGAATTGTTATGAAAAGCTATATTAAAGACAAGAACTTGTCCTAAAAATGATTGCTGGTACCTCTGACTCCACATTGCCACAAATGGAATGCATCCTTTTTTCAACTGACAATCTTTGCATGCCATTAGGTTTTGCATGATAAAAAACTCTTGAGTTTTTTAACTATTTTAAGTGTGCTGTTGGAAAAACTAAYGAGAGCAAGAAGGGGGTTTTGAAATTGCCTCTCATGTTAAAAATGCATGGAGAATTCCAAAGCAAGCAATGCCTAATTCTACGACATCTTCATTCRCAAGCAATCCCGGACGATTGGGTTTCCTGTGTATATATCAAATGAGCATTCCTGGAACTTTAACTAAGATGGCGGCCATCATTCGTCGGCCATTTTTTGAACACKTAAARCATTTACGGCGTTTTATTTTCGATACCAACCATGGTTTACTTTGTAGAACGGCATCTACCAAAAGTGATAATCTTCGATACTCTCAGTTGGACAAAAGGGGTTTACTTCGCGTCAGTGGGACCGATTCTGTCAAGTTACTTCAAGGGATAGTGACAAACAACATTGAGCTATTTCACCAAGACACTACCATGAAGACCATGTACTGTATGTTATTAAACGCACAAGGACGAGTACTTTACGATGCAATGCTATACAAAGACAGAACAACTTCAGAAGGACCAAGTTTCTTCATTGAATGTGACAAAAGTGCTATGAATTCATTAACAAAATTGCTGAAAATGTACAAACTTCGATCAAAAGTGGAAATCTCTTCGGTAAGAGACATAGTTCCTTGGGTAGTGTTTGGTAACGATGAATCTGAAGCATCTATTCCAGATATTAAATCAGATGRTTTGATAAGTGTAAGTAGAGACCCCAGGGTGAGTGGTCTTGGGTGGCGTTTGTTGCTGTCACAGAGTGCYAACCCTTCTGAGGTCATACAGGGTGTAATAGAGGGCGAAGAGAGTTCCTATGAAATTCACAGAATCCAGCTTGGTATAAGTGAAGGGACTGATGAACTTAAACCTGGGGTTGCTCTTCCACTTGAATACAATCTGGACTATATCAATGGAGGTGAGAATGCGTTTTAATGAACCAGTAAGCTTACTCATTTAACACTCCAATAGATTTTGTATGGATTGGGTAAGTTTTTTTTTCTGGTCAGTTTTTGTACAACCAGCCCCAGAAGAGAGGGCATGTTCAAAAAGCTTCCCCCTAAATTTCATTGAACTCACAATGCTGTCTTGTACAATGAAAGCTATGAAGTACTCCTTACAGCAAAACT